CACGTGTTGAATTTCGCCTTGGGCTTAAAGCCCAGCTGGTGTGGGGCCTACCTACAACTGGACACGGTCACCGGCTGGTTCGTGTTGGAATGATGGCGCTCACCAAGATAGCATACGCCTTGGGTCTGGTTTCAGGTAGACACATCTTACTTAGGGGTAATGGCATCCGCAGACGTAGCGAAGAGCATGCGGCTTCAGTTTGAGGTGGGCTTTGCAGACCTAGATGCAGCGAGGGATATCGATGATGCGGGTGCCTCCTCTTCCTATTTTATACGGCCAAAGCGGCAGGGTTCCACATATTAATAGGACGTGGGTTAGCCAGAAGGGGTTTGTCATTTACTAATACCAAACATGAGTCCCAATGGGGGTACACGGCGTCAGAGGCAGTGCGTTGAAGGCGTTCCTATATGACGCCTAGATGTTACAGCACGACGTGTACAGCCATGCTGATCACAGAGCGAATTGAAAAGCCGGTGAGTGAGATGAAGCCTTTGCCACGATCTATGCATTTGGATGTCACAGCGGTTTGTCAATCTGATACAGAAAAGCGGAAAAGTCGGGCTCAAAAACGTCGACAGGGGATCGTTAAATTTCGTGATAACGTACAGCATAAACTTTTGCTCCTGTCGTTTGTCGTTAAGCGGAATTCCCCTGTATAAGAATACTAAGTTTGAGTGCTGGCCGTTTTATTATCGACCTCGCAGATTGCGTAGTTTGCTGGGTACAGGAATGTACCGCGTTAAAAACGAACGGGCAGGAAGCCATTTGTAGTAGGTTAAGTTCAATTTCAAGTGGGATTGGAACGATAGGAGAATCCCGTAAGTGTTCCTTCTTGAGCGGATCCAAGATCCAGGAGTTGATAGTGGTGCTCCGACGTCTTGAAGGGTCTAACAGGAAAACACCCGAAAAGCGCCCTGGACCACCAAGTTACTACCCACGTTCCTTACATTAGCTGTCCCAGCTATGTCAGTTACGTGAAGTAAGTAAGAGATGAAAAGAAAACGAAGGTAAGAGTAGGGGAAATCAGTTAAAAGAAGTAAGTAATACAGATGACGAGGAAAAGTAAAAAATAGAATCGAAGTATGAAGATGGGAATTAGGCAGAAAAAAGGAAAGGTTTCCTGTTGCCACCCAAAAGCGTGTAGTTGACGCCCAAACCACTTAACGGTAGCTTCCTTGACATGCTTTTCTGGAAGTAGGTTCCAGAGCTCGATGACTCGACACGATAACCGTTTCGCTGCTCTAAATCGATCGGACCGCAGTTTGTGCTGCTTAATAAAATGCCCACGGAGACCAGCCAACCTAGCAGGACTAACTAGCCAGGACAAATCAGGGCCAACCTTCCCAGTCAAAATACGGTAAGTTAGGATTAGGCCCCTTCTAATCTTTCCATAGCGCATTGACTGCATCCCCAAACTAAGTAGGCTTTCGGGATACGTTTGTCCTCGTAAGCACTTGACCAACCTAGTGCCGACACGCAACACCCTTTCTAGTGCCAGTTTGTCCCGGACAAGGCATGGTGGACAGGCCTGGACGCAATATTCTAGGTTAGGTCACACAAACGGTGAGAAGAGCTTCACGAACGCATCAGCGGTTAGGGTCCTGGAAGAACGACGGATAAACCACAACATCCGAAACCCTGTACTAGCCGCCTTCTTCCAGTTGTCTCCAGAGCGTAGTGTGGAACAATGGACGACAACTAGATCAACCTGAGTCGTCAAGTGATGAAGTCCACTCCCATCGAGTATATAACCAATGGAGGAAGCAAACCCTCCGATACGCAGCACTGAACACTTTGCCCGGTTTATGGGCAGCAACCATAAGACAGACCATCCCCAGCGTCTATCCAGAGCCCGCTGAAGAATCAGTGGACCACAAGGGATATCAACAATATTCCAGAGCTAGATCATCAGCAAATAAGAGCGATGGAACTTCAAGCTCCTCCGGAAAGTCATTCAGGTAGACAGAAAAAAGCAGCGGACCCAGGACAGAGCCTTGCGGAATGCCGCTAAGTACAGCTTGTCGAAAGGAAAGGCTGCTTTCCAAACGAATACACTGTTCCCGTCCATCCAGAAAAGCTGACACCCACTGGAGAGCGCTCCAAGCTATTCCATCCGACCTCAACTTCAGTGAGAGTAGCGAATGGGGGACAGTGTCAAAAGCCTTGGCGAAGTCAAGGAACATCACCTCCACCGCATGTCCACTGGCAACGGCTTCAGCCCAGTACTCACGAGCTAAAAGCAAGTTCGTCTGACACGAAAATCCCTTGCGAAAACCAGGCTGCTCGACGCTGAGCAGGGTAAACATATGTAAATTTTTCTCCACTACATCTCGTACTGACTTTTCAAGTAACTTAGCGACCACAATAGTCAAGTTGACCGGCGTGTAATTAGTCGGTAGTTCTTTGTCACCGCATTTGAAAATCGGACAGACAACAGTCTCCTTCCATTCGTTAGGTAAAACACAGCTGTTCAGTGACCTATGAAACACACAAGTCAGGAAGAAGTTTGGATGAACGGAAGCTGGCCCAGAAGCCTTAGTTGGGTTTGCCTCTCTTAGCAACCGGAGGAGTTGGGACTCCGTTATGGGAATTTCATCCAGTCAACAGTCCGTCGTCTCTCTTGCAGCTTATACTTTGCATGGAGTATTTGTTTCGCGGACAAACACGCTTGTGTGCTGCTCAACAAACACGCTTGCCTTGTCATAGTCGCTATAAGCATGGGTCCCATCTCCTCGAAGTAATGGTGGAATGGGCGAGTTTGCACCAATGCATCGTTTCACGAAAGCGAAGAAGATTTTAGGATTTTTCGAGGCAGTATCAGTTAAGCCCTTTTCATGCTGAAGCCGGGCCAACCTAAGATGTAGCTTGCACTCATGTCCAACCAACAGATACTTGTAAAACATGCTGTTCGACGGAGCTGATCGGTACGCGTTTGCCAGCATCTAGACCGCTTATTTAGCAGGCCCTTGCCAGCGGAATCTTTCCACGGAGGCTCCGTTCTCCGTTCCCTTCCTTTTACCAGTGTGATGTGAGCTGCAGAAATGTCTACGAGGTGAGCCTTAAGTTTTCCCAGGCCATGTGAACAGTGTCGGCCTCACATATCACACAAGGCGCTGATCTAGCTTTATGCAGCATTGCTTGGGAGTCCGCGGCTCAAATGTTCCGATACCAATTGGTAGTGGCTTGGCAAGGCCTGATAAGGGTACACTGGAAAGACAAGCAAATGAACTCGCTAGCGCCAAGCGGCGAGTCGTATTTAATGTCATGGAAAAAGCCAAGTGACTATGCAAAAGCAAGATCAAAAATGGACGGCTGCTGCTTGCTACTTATCTAGTGGGGAGGTCCAGGAACTAATGCAGTGGTACCTGCGGCGACAAGTCCAGCAAATGTGTACCGGACGATGCCAACGCCGAACAGCAAGATAGGTCATCCTAACAAACCTCTGGGAGGTTGAAGTCTGCCCGCACCAGACAAGTGTTCGCAGAGGGAGTGCGTATAATCTCAAGGGTTTCTATTTGATGTGCTCAGAGGGCTTATATGCACTAACACGACCGTAAGCTGAACCTAGGGAGCGCAAAGCAAGACTGGTGGAGCCTCAACAGATTTGTCGAGAGACTGAAAAACGCTGGTGCTCAATACATCAACGTGATAACTCACACAAAGAGCTACACACGGATAATGGGGCGGTCAGTGTGGAACAGTGCGCAGCCAGGCAGATATACATCGCCGTCTGTGAATTCCTCAGCCAGTCACGTTTCAGTGAAAGCAAGCATATCTGGACGAGATTTGTCTACCAGCAGACCCACTTCGCACATATTGTTCCTCAGGCTACGCACGTTACTGAGTACTACTTGGTGGGATTCGGCACGCCCAGCCCTGGGTCGTGCGCAAGCGGAATAGGTTCTAGCAGGGCGGAAATGGATCGCCGGCTGACCACCTGAAACCCACCAATCGGAGACCTTGCTCGCCAGCTGCACGCCGGGCTTTTAGGACTCTGATGGCTATCTTTAACTTGAAGCTATTCGCTAACAACAGGGCTGGTTGCACACTAACGTTGCTCCCTTTGAGCTTGAAGGCAAATCACAGTAAGGCCCTGCGCACCTCTGGGGTAAAGATGACCACCCTGAACAGACGGGGTCGAGGATTTGGTTGCCAAACCGGAACGTTCCCCAATCTGACGAGCTTCCTGACAGTAACGGAAGGGAAACCTGGTGGTAAAAGCCCGGTCGCGCTAAGTTTAAGCCAACCAAGCTCAGCAAGCATGCGCTCGGTGGGAAGAGCGGCAGTGGATCCAGTGACGTTTTTGAAACTCGCACTGCTATCTGTGTAAGAATCGCTTTGTCGAGGTGTGTTTACTCCAATTGCTCTACCATCCCCGCCACATGGTTGTTTGACAGGAATCGGTGGGAACGAAAGCCACGGCACCTCTTATCTCACTGAAGGATTAGATGCACCAGGTGGTGTTTCCAACTCAGGCGCTTGTTTCTTGTCATCTCCGAAACGACTGAAACTTTATGGACGCGGAAATGTAGCTACTCATAAACTAGATATACGAACTTAAAGGTAAAACAAGATAGGCACGTGATTGACTAGATAATGTTGAATAAATGTTGTAACTAAATTAAATTTAACCTAAAAACATTATGATGAAGGGCCATGACCGAATACAAACGTAAGTTTATATGCAAGTGTACATCGCTTGTTACAGAAATATATTTTTATATTTATATAAATGTAAACAAAATATTAGTTACATAAACAGAAACACATTCATGTAGTGATCACTGCTAATTGTGCTCTAGGAGTAATAAATTTTTATAATTAAAGGAACTAAGACGTTGGAGAAACATAATAATGCAACTTTGTAACCAAATTTATACGCAACTTTAGGTGCAAGCATTTATCACTCGTTAGTTATTTTTAATCAGTCATTGGCTCATTAGCTTTGAACAATAGTTGCTGTACCAAACCGCTCTGCCCGTTTTCGGCCTATTTAGAGTCTGTTAGTTATATATTTCGGTAGGATTCCTCGCTACCGCGTGTTTCAGGTGTAGCCGGTCCGCGGGCTTCACGGTAACACGTTAACAGGTAAGAGGTCGCTCGGTTTTCGCTAGGAGGGGTATAATATAGCCAGTTCATGGGCTTCAGGTTAACAAGTAAGAGGTCGATCGAGTTCGTTTTCTGTTATCCTTACCTTCCTATTCCACTCCGGCACTTTCTCTTCCGTGCTTCCCTAGCTGCCACCTTTACATCGACCTCTTACTAGACGGCTCGAACGTACAGCTGTCTAGGAGGTATTTATTTTGCATTGCAGCTTGCCGCACTACTTGGACACGGAAGAGCTTGGAACGCCGGACCGCAGGAATATTACACAGGTTTACTGGAGAACTCCATACAAATACTTAACTTTTGTGATTATTCCAGTCATATGCTGAAACAGGATTTCGTGCGAAAACCTTTACACTTAGTGTTTATCATTCATTCATTGTATTGTTGTATGGTAGAGACCAGGAGAAAATTTTGTCAGCTCAGTCGCTTCCCGGTCATTGCGGACTTTGTTGGTGTCATTACGAAAGTAAAATTCCACAATGGACCTAGAGATATGTTTTGAAGCAATATTCAGGCACAGTTAGTAGGTGGGCATTCAACAGTTTCTTAAAACTTTCCTCGGACTGCGCATCAACGACGAGCTTCGGACGGCGGTTCAAATGCAAGTTCAAGTTCGGGTGGGACTGGAACGATAGGAGTATCCCGTGAGAGTTCCATCTTGAGTGGATTTTTGAGCCAGGAATTAATGAAGTGCTCAGTTGTTGATGGATCTAAAACGAAACAACCGAACCGCGCCCTGGCCAACTAGTTCATGTCCAGGTTTCCTGCCCTAGTAGTCCCTGCTGTGGCATTCACGTGAAGTAATCAGATAGTAAGATAAATCGAAGGTACAGAATAAGAAAGTGCAAATGAAATAAGAAAATAATACCAATGCGTGAAGAAAGGAATATCAAAGTATGAAGATGCAAGTCAGTCAGGAAGGTCTCGTGTTGCCACCCAAGTGCGTCAACTTGCCGCTTAAATCTCTTAAGCGTAGATTTCATTCATTAACCACGCGAAGGTATAGAGCTAGAGCTGACGGCACGATAGCCAGCTGTTTGTGACGGTATGTTGTCTACACAAGCTGTAGGCGCCTTGACCCTGAATGTTTGCTTAGGGCATTAAGATATTCAGGTAAGTCCCCCTTCTCTCCCTCTTCTTATTCTTTGTTTCAAAGGTCCTCATGGTTGTATGGCAGCGAAGCATCAGTTCAAATGGTTGATGTACTGGTGCTGTTGTTGATGATGACGGCACATGGATTCTCCTCGATTTGAACAGTTTCCATCTGTGACCACGTGTCGAACTTTCAATGTTCAGATGCAAAAACTGCTGTTACTCGCTTCCTAGCTCACCTCCTAGGGTATGTCGAGTGTAGATGAAATCGCCGCGACGATGACGGTAATCCAGAGAGAAAAGGTTATCGCTGGAGTCGGAGTGGATCAGATAAGCACTACAGCTCTGGCACATTTAGATCCACTTCGTTGGATCTTTTCAATCACATCGTAATCGGTCTTCGTGAGAAGATGAGCAGCTGGCAATTCGTACTCGAAAATTGTGCGCACATTTGTTTCAAACAGGTCTGAAGAGCTCTGGATTTAGACGGGAGAACGCACTTCGTAAAGCATGAAACAATCTGTATGCAGCGGCGACCCTTTTCCGGGTCTCCTCAGTTGTTTTGAGTTTAGGAGATACAATTACTCTTTTGGCGGTGGATGTAATGCTCTACTTATAACCCTCAACCTAACCATTGGATCCTTGGTAATCTTCAACATCAAAGCATATGGCATATTAGATTTGGGATGTAGGATAAAGGGAATCTAACGCAGAGTAAGATGAAAAAATTGGAGAAGGTGCAGCACGTAGTCATTCGTCTAATCCACAAGCTCCGCAGCTTATCCTACCAGCAGCGGTGTCAGAAATTGCAGCTTCACACACTAGTGTACAGGGGGTTAAGAAATGACCACATCATAATCTTCAGAATACCATTTGATACACTCCTTAGCTGAGGTATACGTTTTGCGTTACCGACACAGCAGTCACTCGAGGGCATGCTTACAAACTGGAAGCCCCGCGTATGGACAATGTACCTCACACTCATTGTTTTGCTCGACGATTGTTCCCTGTCTGGAACTGCTTAGTTAGTTCTGCTGTTCTCTCAGATTCCATACTGTGTCTCAAGCGAAACCTTGACAAATATTTCGCAGACCTGTGCTTCGATCTTGATATTGTGTTTGACCTTTCATCGCGTGGGTATCTTCTGGCTGCACTAGCAGCTTTAAGGAATAAAACACCTAACGCTGTGCTCTTTTGCGGTTTCATGCCTGTATTTTGTGTGCCACCAAGCGACCATAATTGTGACTTTACGCAGACCGACATACCGCATTGGTGCTTTTTTGCTTTTACCATACTTATGATGGAGGTAACAGATTGTTATCTTTTTCTCCCAATACACTGATTCCGATTCTGATAAAGCAAATTCCAGTCCGTACCCAACAAGGAGCCACTTCTTGACTCTCCAGCCTTTATTTCTTTCTGCCGTCTGTCTTTCTTAAACCTTGCTCGTATGTTGACTTCTTCATCGAAACTGTAGGTATCCAATAGTGGACAAACGTCTTAATGCTCTGGCTGCACCAGCCACTGATTCATTCTTTTCCAGAACCACTACCTCTGCTTATCAGCAGCAAGTCGCCATAGCTTCCATTTAACTCTGCGGATATCCGGAGATCTGTAGGAGTCGCTCCCTTCTTAAAATGTTCATTATCTTAGAATGTTTGCGTCACAGCTCAGACCGTTTGTTGACCTATTATGTGCCACCGTAGGATGCACTAATAACTGGAGGCTTAATCCGAACTCCAATGCTGGCTATTCCTCTCTCTCCTAGCGCGCCGTTATCCTACTCTGGTCAACTCTTCTTGGCAATAGATAGTCATTGTTGGCTCCATGTGGCTTACAAGTAGCCACTCCCAGACTCTCCAACCTTCGTTTTCTTTTGCCGTCTGCCTCTCTTAAGCTTCGCTCGCATGTTGATTCTTCCGTCGAAACTGTAGGTATCCAGTATTGGGCAAACGTCTTAATGACATGGCTACACCAGCCACTGGTTCACTCTTTTCCAGAGCCAATATCTCTGCTTAGCAGCAGTTAGTCGCCATAGCCTCCACTTAACCCTCGGATATCCGAAGCTCTGTAGGAGCCGCGCCCTTCTTGCAATGTTCATTCTCTTGGATTAATTGCATCACAGCTCAGATGGTTTGTTGACTTATTATGTGCCACCCTAGGATCCACTAGTAACTGAAGGCTTAGTCTAAACTCTATTGCTGGTCACTCTTCTCTCTCCTAGCGCGCCGATATTTGTCGTTCGTCCTACTCGAGTCAACTCCACTTGACAACAGCTAGTCATTATTGGCTCCATGTAGATTACAAGGAGCCACCCCTCGGCTCACCAACCTTCATTCTCTTCTGCCGTCTGTTTCTTAAAGCTTCGCTCGCATGTCGATTTCTTCATCGAAACTGTAGGTATCCAGTATTGGTCAAACTTCTTAATGACATGGCTACAGCAGCCACTGATTCATTCTTTTTTAGAGCCACTATCTCTGCTTAGCAGCAGCTAGTCGCCATAGCTCACATCTAACTTTGCGGATATCCGGAGCTCGCTCCCTCTTACAACGTTCATTCTCTTGGATTGTTTGCGTCACAGCTTAGCTGATCTATTGACCTATCACTTACCTTCACTGGCCTAGAGATACACTCATCGACCCTGTAGGCATTCACTAGTGACAAAGCGTCTGATTAGAATAGCTGCCTCTCGCGACTGAGTCACTCCTAGCGCCACCATCTGCAGGTCGTCATAACTTTGGCATATCTCTTCAGAAGTCGCTAATGGCCATTGGCCCCATGCAAATGCGATGATCCAGTGCTTGTTAGTAGCCACCCCGTATCTCAATAACATTTACTCCTTTAGAATATCTTCATCCAGTCCCTCCGCTGCCCTGCCACCAATTGATCTTTAAGAATCTCGCAGCAACCTATTTATTTCCACTTATTATGCCCCCTTCTCGGATTACACTAACCACGTGCTGTTCATGCTCCTGACAATCACTGCCAACATTCTAACTCTCTTTGCTCTATCCCCACGCAACTATCCACTCATATCAAACGGATACTCGTACTTTACTTACTGGTGCAACGCTCTTGTCTCTACGCAGGCGAGAGCAATCCACCTATACGGCTAATGATTCTATAGGATACTCAAAAGACATTTTCAGCATAATTATTGTTGCACAGTGTACATGCTTTTGTCTCAAGCCCAAATGTTATAACACAATAACAATATTCTACTCCATGCCAGTTCTTGCGGTCTTCTCTCGGTTGTCCCTCACTTTCCCTTATCTTTGAGGTCCGGGACACCTTGGAGATCTGGGATTGGACTGAGGAATATTTTTAGCCCAAGACGGACGTAACAACCCACAAGGACTGACATGGAAGATGGTAAAACTCCGCAAGGATCGACCCACAATCAAAATAACCCTTGTCCAGTATGGAGAACTGGACATATCCTCATACTCGCATACATTATACATCTGATGAATCTGGACAGTGGAAAAATTGAACCATTTGCTCACCTGGACATACAACAAGAAGAAAATTCGCGATGTCCCTCTCCTCCGAATTCAAAAATCATGGCGACCAAGATCAAAATACCCGTCCAACTAACAGAGGAAATTAGAAGCCATTACTCTGCGAAAAATCGTAGGTAAAACCAGTCGTCAAGCGGCTTTGCCAGTTCAACATTAATGTTCAAAATGCTTTACGGCAGTGTTGCAGGAGGTGGTGGGTTTTCTCCTGGCAAGCGTTCTCTCTATAAAAAGCCACAAATGTCAGTTTAACAACACTGCGATGTGACTCGCCACTGAATAAAGTCACACCCCACAACTACGTACTGGCAAGTCGACTAGATTCACACATCAACTTTTCCCGACACCATTTCAACTACACACGATTGA